CACCCCTGTAGTTTCAGCTACTTGGGAAGCTGAGGTGGGAAGATCACATGAACCCGGGAGGTTGAGGCTGTAGTGAGCCATGATTGCACCACTGAACTCAAGCCTGGGCGACAGAGTGAAGCCCTGTCTCAAACAAACAAAAAAAGATCATGCTTAGCTCCATGGTCTTGGGTATGTCTGCCTTCTCTAGATGATTTTTCTATGTGTTCTAACACACACATGCATAAATGCATAATAATCTGCATATGTTTATAAATGGCTATTAATGATGTTGTTTTTAATATATTCTTTTTCCCTTGTGGAATTAGGAAAGAATTACTGTAATCTGTTAGGATTTTCTTAGCAAGCTTGCTTGACATATGTCAAAATGATAATAGTAATTATTCTTAGCATTATGGGTGATCACTAATTTCTTTACACTTTTTAGATTTTCTGGGACGACTTTTTATTTTCAGATCAAACCAATAAAATGTTTTTCCTTTTTTATGAGAAAAGATTATTTCTTTTCTTTTGGTTTCATACCCAGCTCCTTCTCTTAGTTTGCTCTGACTCTAATTTCAGATTAAACCAGATGTTGTTCTTGCTGTCTCCATTAAGTAATTTGCTTAAGTTTCACAGCCAGTGCGTGGTGAGGCTGGGATATAAACCTGTCTGACGCCAGGCCCATGCTCTTAACAGTCATGCTGTACTGCTTTATAAACCCAGTGTATGCCTGCTAGTCCTTATCTGAGAACTACTGTGAGGCTGGGGATCAGAAAATGGAAAGTCACTGGAAAACAGGGCTAAATGAAACAAGAAGCTCCAGAGTCCCAGATGCTCTTAACGAGAGGGGAGAACTCCCTTAGAGAGTTTAATACTTTTGTGTGCTTTATATTTTTTTTTTAATAAAAAAAGTTACCATTGTAGTTAATGCCACACCAATCCTCTTTCCCTCCAGAGAAGTAATCACTGTCCCAACGTTGTTATTCTCAGGCACGTTTTTATAATTTTACCTTTTAGTACATAAATGTTAGTTGACATCTTTGGTAAATTATAACCACCAAACTGTATGTTTAAGAACATAAGTATATTTACCAGTCGACATGTATAGGGAATGTCAGATTGCCAGATTGCATGTTTTTAGGCTTTGTTCTTTAATTCCTTTTGTTGTTTTGTGTTGGAGTTTCTGAGCTCATATGAGTTTTATATTTGCTTGCTTTATTACAAACACCCCATGTGATAACATGTGCTTGGAAAGCTGAGTAGTTTTGTCTTTTTTTTTTTTTTTTTTTTTTGAGACAGAGCCTTGCTCTGTCACCCAGGCTGGAATGCAGTGGTGCATTCTCCGCTCACTGCAGCCTCCGCCTCCTGGGTTCAAGCGATTCTCCTGCCTCAGCCTCCCGAGTAGCTGGGATTACAGATGCATGGCACTGCACCTGGCTAATTTTTGTATTTTTTGTGAAGACGGAGTTTCTCCATGTTAGCCAGGCTGGTCTTGAACTTCTGACCTCAGGTCATCTGCCCGCCTCAGCCTCCCAAAGTGCTGGGATTACAGACATGAGCCACTGTGTCTGGCCAAGCTTAGTAGTTTTGATGGTTTAATTTCCCCAAACTCTTTGGATCAAGGACAAAAAAAAAAAAACAACGAATCTTCGTGAGAAGGACTAACTAGATATCTACCAAAATAAGCTCTTTACAAACTCTTTTCCTATTGAAATAACAGATTCTTAAGAGTTTGTCATAGTTGAGGTTGCTATAAGAAAGTACCACATATGGAGTGGCTTATAAACAACGGACATTGATTTCTCACTGTTCTGGAGGCTGAAAGTCAGAGATCAGGGTGCCAGCATGGTCTGATTCTTGTGAGGGCCCCATTCTCAGTTGCATACTGCCAACTTCGTGTTGTATCCTCACATGGTGAAAGAGGGCAAGAGAGCTCTCTGGGGTCCCAGATTCCAGTGATTAGGGCTCCATCCTCATGACCTAATCACCTCCCAAAGGCACCTCCTCCTAATACCATCATGTTGGGAGTTAGGATTTCAGTATACGAATTTTGCCAAGGACACAAGCATTCAATTCATTGCAGGTTCTTTGAAAATAATTTAAATTTTGCTTTTTAACAGTATCTTATGTATGTATTTATAAGACAGAGAACCTGGCATCAGTGTGATCATAATGCTCTTATATAATTTTATTGTGTGACCTAAACTTTATCCACTCTTATACTGAGTTGTCTTTTGTTCAGTAAAGAAAGTGAATTGAATCCAAATGCCCGCATTTATGGCAAGCTGAAGTAGGTGTTTAGTCAGCCATCTGATATCAAGTTGTGAGAACAGTAGGTACTTCATCCAAAGAATTATGGTTTCTGCCAAATTCATTTTGATTCCTGTTCACAAATTTGAACCAAATTTACAGGCTTTGTCTAGGTTCACATTTAATTTCCGTAATTGAATTCCAGAATATATTAGTTTACAACACAGACTCAGTATGACAATATAAATCCATCCGGAAAGGAAGACTATTTTGTGTACAGTGTGAATTATATATTTTTTCTTTCATTTTTTTTTTTTTTTTAAGATGGGGTCTCACTATGTTGCCCAGATTGGTCTCAAACTCCTGGCCTCAAGTGATCCTTCCACCTCAACTTCCCAAGTACCTGGGATTACAGGCGTGAGCCATCACACCCAGATCCGTGTGAATTATATTTTATAGGTTTATTAGCTGCCTGATATATGAGGCTATTCCCATTTCAAATATTTATAAAATTTGAATGAAGATTGTATAATCGAATTATCCTTGAATATATGAAAGGGTTATAATCTGCATGCATTTGTGAATGAACACAATGTAAGTATACGTAAGTAATGTTTTTATTGATTATATCTTTTTAGGGTTGGATTGAGATTGTTGGATGTGCTGATCGTTCCTGTTATGACCTCTCCTGTCATGCACGAGCCACCAAAGTCCCACTTGTAGCTGAGAAACCTCTGAAAGAACCCATATCCTTTCTGGTCACTCCAAAAACTCAGGATTCACATGTGAACATCTTGCTAATGACTAAGTCCAAGTCTTTACCGTGTTCTATGGATAAATGGAGATGTTTTTGATACCGTAGTAATACTTGTTTAAACCTATTATTTTACCTATCTCTTTGTTCTTTTCCTATTCTCTGCACTTATAGTCTGACGTGTGCCCACTCAATGTTTGGCCTTTAAAAGAAGCATATTTAGAAAAATGCTCTGAATATCTTTCAGAGCATTAATAGTTTTTTTCTCAGCTGTTTCCAAAATGCGCTTCACACCTGCACCTACCTACATGCTCTTTAAATAAAGGGTACCTGGTGAAAGCTTTTTCCATTAAAAGATGAGTGTCATTTGATAGTAGATGAAATAATAATTTAACTCACTTGGTCTGAAAATCAGCAAAATAGAAATTTACTAGGCAGTGAAGTTATGAGCTGATTTCTTAGGGGTAGGTCAGTGACAGGAAATAGATCTTGTTTTGGGCATTTTAGAAATAAATTCTTATCAGAAGTTCTTATGCCATGGGTTGGTCATTACTGATTAGATAATATCTCTTTTTTCTCACTGTAACTGGAAAAGTTTCTATTGATGGTATTAATTTTGGGTGAGATTTGCTTGAATGATTTTGTGGACAGGTGTTTCATCTTGTCTTAAAATCAACATAAACAGGATCTGGAGTACTGATAGAGAGCTGGGGTGGTTTTAAGTTGATGACTGATTGTTCTCAGGCTCGTTTTCTGAAATACTGAGGCAGTGCTGTAGTTTTGGATTCCTTGACTACTTCATACAAAACAGTCAGTGTTGTTCAGTTTGAACCCAATAAGGGAGCAATTGGTAAGGCGTATAAGAAGGATGCAAAACTGGTGATGGAGTATCTTGCCGTTTGTGATGAGTGCTACATTACAGAAATGGAGATGCTGCTGAATGAGAAAGGGTAAGATTTCAGATGTTTAGTCTTCCACGGGCTCCAGTCAGTTGTGTCTTCGGCCAGGTTCTGAAAGTTAGGGTGTGATTAATTTCTTAAGATTTTTTGCAGGTAAGTACTGTATCTTGGCTGCATTTGAAGGACTGTCTTTGCTGAGATTTTGGCATTATAGCCTGGAAAAAGATTTGAAGTAGAATATAAAGACTTTTTTTTTTTTTTCCTATTAACTTTCTTAAAGCGACTTACCCAGCTAGGAAGGGTTAGAAACTACATCTACCTCTCAGGTCACTTCTCCTTTTTGGAGGTTTAGAATACTCTGTAATTGTTTAAGCATGAATATAAACAATAGAGAAGGCGGGGCATGGTGGCTCACGCCTGTAATCCCAGCACTTTGGGAGGCCGAGGCAGGCAGATCACGAGGTCAGGAGACCATCCTGGCTAACACGGTGAAACCCCATCTGTACTAAAAATACAAAAAATTAGCCAGGCATGGCGGTGGGTGCCTGTAGTCCCAGCTACTCAGAGGCTGAGGCAGGGGAATGGCGTGAACCTGGGAGGCGGAGCTTGCAGTGAGCCGCAATCTTGCCACTGCACTCCAGCCTGGGCAACAGAGCGAGACTCCGTCTCAAAAAAAAAAAAGAAAAAATAGAGAAAAGCCTTTAAAGGAATACAACAAAATCCAGCCCTGAACAATGTAAAATTTACAATATCCAGCAAACGATAACAATTACTATATATATATATATGAAATAATAGGAAAATGAGGAGTAAAGTCAGTTGAAAGAAACACCTAGAAAAAACATGATGCATGATGCGGTAAATATATAAGGATGTTAAAGCACTTATTATAAATATACTTCATGTACTCAAGGGTGTAAAGGAAAACATGAACATGTGAGGTGAGGAAGGGAAAAATATATGTGTAATATGGATATAAACACATGTTTTTATATATATAGACAACATGAAACATTTAGAGGCAGTATCTCAAATGAAAATGTCACTGGATGGGATTAACAGTAGATTAAACATTACAGAAGAAAGATCATTGAACTCAAAGACATAGCAACAAAAACTATCCAAAATGAAGCATAGAAAAAACGAGACTGGGAAAAAACTGTCCAGTGGGACAATATCAGACCATCTAATGCATGTGTAATTGAGAGTCCTAGAGAGGGCGTATAGAAAAAATATTATACAATAACTGGAAATTTTCCAAATTTGATGAAAACGATAAAACTACAGATTGAAGAAGCTTATCCCCAAGCAGGATAAACACAAAGATGACCATATGAAGACACATGAAAATCAAATAGCTAAAAACCAGGGATGAAGAGAAGAACCTTTAAAGCAGCTAGAGGGGAAAAAGGCTCATTACGTAAAAACAAATGAAGATAAGAATGATTAGAATTCGTATCAAAAACTATGCAGATCACCATATAATGGAATGAAATCTTTTAAAGTGTTTTAAAATTCCTACACCCAGCAAAAATATCTTTCAAAAATGAAGAGGAAATACTTTTAAGACCAAGCTTGCCCAACCTGCGACCTGCAGGCTGTATGTGGCCCAGGATGGCTTTTGATGCTGCCCAACACAAATTCGTAAACTTTCGAAAAACATCATGAGTTTTTTTTGCAGTTTTTTTTTTTTTCTTTGCTCATCAGCTATGGCTAGTGTTAGTGTATTTTACGTGCAGTCCAAGACAGTTCTTCTAGTGTGGCCCAGGGAAGCCAAAAGATTGAACACCTCTGTTTTAGACAATCCAGGGCTCTGAAATTGCACTACCAACAGACCTCCACTATGAGAATTGTTAAGGGAACTTCTCCAGGCAGAAGTATGAAAGTTTAGATCTACCCAGAAGACTTAAGAGATCTAGAAATGACAAATATGTGGGTAAATAGAAATGGCATTTTCTTTCTCATCTCTTAATTTCTTTAAAAGATAATGGAGTATTTAAAGTAAAAATAATAATACAGGCCGGGCACAGTGGCTCAAGCCTGTAATCCCTGTACTTTGGGAGGCTGAGACGAGTGGATCACGAGGTCAGGAGATCGAGACCATCCTGGCTAACATGGTGAAACCCCGTCTCTACTAAAAAATACAAAAAACTAGCTGGGCGCGGTGGCGGGCGCCTGTAGTCCCAGCTACTGGGGAGGCTGAGGCAGGAGAATGGCTTAAACCCGGGAGGCGGAGCTTGCAGTGCGCTGAGATCCGGCCACTGCACTCCAGCCTGGGCGACAGAGCGAGACTCTGTCTCAAAATAAATAAATAAATAAATAAATAAATAAATAAATAAATTCCAGCCTGGGCGACAGAGCGAGACTCTGTCTCAAAATAAATAAATAAATAAATAAATAAATAAATAAATAAAATAAAATAATAATAATACAGAATTTATAACACGTGGAAGTAAAATGTATGCTATCAATAGCACAAAGGGTGGGAGCAAAGAATTAGGAATATACTCTTGTGAGGTGTATACATTATATATGAAATGGTGTAATATTACTTGAAGATAAACTGTGATAAGTTAAAAAATGCATAGAGTGAACTCTAGAGCAATCACCTGGATAAAAACCACAAAAAAACCCAAGGGGTGTAACTAATAAACCAATGCTGGAGATAAAGTAGAATAAGAAAAAATATTCCACAAGAAGATGGGAGAGGAGGAAAAGGAACAAAGAACAGATGGGACAAAGATGAACTCTTGCAAGTTGAAGATATCTGTTTCAGAAAAATTTTAAAACATTTCTGGTCTTCTAGAATTAACATCTATTTATACTAAAACAATATCAAATTCCATTAAAATGGACTAAGTTATATTACTAATTAAATATCATTATCCATAAACACAGTTTGCTTTATTACTTATTCTCAGGTAATGGCTGTCTCCTTGCCAATTGCAACTCTTTTTTTTTTTTGAGATGGAGTCTCACTGTCACCCAGGCTGGGGTGCAGTGGTGCAATCTCAGCTCACTGCAACCTCTGCTTCCCAGTTTCAAGCAATTCTCCCACCTTAGCCTCCTGAGTAGCTGGGACTACAGGTGTGCACCACCACGCCTAGCTAATTTTTTTGTATTTTTAGTGGAGATGGGGTTTCACCATGTTGACCAGGCTGGTCTCGAACTCCTGACCTCAGGTGATCCGCCTGCCTTGGCCTCCCAAAGTGCTGGGATTACAGGCGTGAGCCACCATGCCTGACCCAATTGCAACTCTTTTATAGCTGTTCACTATGATACACTTAGACTGTGCTCACAGAGAAGGTGAATATAACACCGTGTATGTAATGGAACCTTTAATGCACGCATACACAGACTTCAGACAGAATAGTAAAAACGGAAGAATTCAGTGAACACCAGTCAGATGAGGCATGAGATTATCACAGGTGGAAACAAGCAAAATGCAGTTGTTACGTATGCCAAGTATCCAGCTTCCGAGACAACCACATGAGGGCTCTCTATCCTAGCACTGAATTGCTTGGGAGGCAAGAGAAATCCAAATTGATACTCAAAATGTGAGGAAACACCTCCTAAGCTGAAATACAGGTATTACATGAAACTCTGTATAAAGAGTGAATTATTATAACCTGAAACTGAATGGGCATATCTCAGGACACAAATACATGGCAGCCAGTGATTTTGGGGGGGATAATATTTTATATTGCCGTATGAAACAGAAACATTAAACTTCTTTTAAACTGATCTTCATCAACACAAATGTCAAAATTTATTTTGAAAATAGTGTGGGCATTGGACCGTAAAATTACTTTTATAAGATGGCGTGCTGGTTCATTTGTACATTTGTTGGGACAGTAATGAGAACCCTTGTGTTTTTACCAGCAGGCTTATTTCTGACAAAGTTGTTATTATTCTAAAACTGAATTTTCAAAAAGTTGTTTTTGGTTTTACCTTGATCTCAAAACCAAAGGCATTAGTCATTAAGTCACTTGTGGAATTTTATGAAACTAGTCAAAATTTGGTGTATCTCCTCAGAGTACTTTTTGGTGCCATTGTTAGAATAATACTTAATTTGGTGTTTCTTATGAAATAATTTAAATTTGACATCACTTATTATATCTGGAGAGTTGATCAAGTTATAAAAATAAAAAAATAATTTAGCAATCTACAAAATTCCTTTAAATTAAGGCATGGGGTGCCTGTTTGAACTAATACAAAATGTATTTTGTTTCTTTGTAGGGAATTTACAATTGAAACTGAAGGGAAAACATTTCAGTTAACAAAAGACATGGTCAATGTGAAGAGATTCCAGAAAACACTATATGGTAAATTTGTAAAAATGATAAACAAAAAGTCACTGCTCCTTAAAGCTTTTGCTGTTGTTTGAGACAGGGTCTCGCTCTGTCACCCAGGCTGGAGTGCAGTGGCACAACCTCTGCCTCCTGGGCTGAAGCATTCCTCCTCCTGTCTCAGCCTCCCAATTAGCTGGGACTACAGGAGCACGCTACCATACCCAACGAATTTTTGTATTTTTTGTAGAGATGAGGTTTTTGCCACGTTGCCCAGGCTGGTCTTGAACTCCTAGGCTCAAGCAGTCCACCCGACTCGGCCTCCCAAGGTGCTGGGATTACAGGCATGAGCGGCCACGCCTAGCCCTCATTCCCTGTCTTTTTTGGCAAAATAACTTATTAAAAAGTCCTTTAGGGGCCAGACGCGGTGGCTCATGCCTGTAATTCCAACACTTTGGGAGGCCGAGAGCGGGTAGATCACGAGGTCAGGAGTTTGAGACCAGCCTGGCCAACATGGTGAAACCCCATCTCTACTAAAAATGCAAAAATTTTGCCGGGTGCAGTGGCTCACGCCTGTAATCCCAGCATTTTGGGAGGCTGAGGTGGGTGGATCACGAGGTCAGGAGATCGAGACCATCCTGGCTTACATGGTGAAACCCCATCTCTACTAAAAATACAAAAAAAATTAGCTGGGTGTGG